CCTAGGCATTATCCCTTTGCTTTTCAGCTCAAGGTGAGCACTCTACCACTTGAGCCACAGCGCCACTTCTGGTTTTCTGATGGTTAATTGGAGGTAAGAGTCTCATGTACTTTCCTGCCCAGGCTGGCTTTGAACCACGATCCTCAGATCTCAGTCTCCTAAGTAGCTCTAGGATTACAAGTATGAGCCACCGGTGTCTGGCTTGTGGGTTTTTGTTGTTGTTATTGCATTCATTTAGTATGAAACATCTACTATATTTAATAAAAAGAAACTTAAAATATTAGCTGTAGGGTTGTAATAATAAAAGTAGAAGTATTGTGAGATTCTCAGCTACAATTAACCACCAGAAAATTGGAAGTAGCACTGTGTCTCAAAGTGGTAGAACACTACCCTTAAGCTGAAGAGCTCAGGGACAGCAGTCATGCCCAGAGTTCAAGCCCCACAATCCACCAAAAATTAAAAAAAGACCAGACATGTAGAGGATGAGAGTTCAAGGCTAGTCTGGGCTACATAGAGAGATACTATCTAATAATAACGTAATAATAAGAGTAAAAAGAAGAAGGAAGGTCTATCTATTCTATATTTCCCTCGGGTGACAGAATTGGAAGCACTGACAAGTAACTGGATTTTTTGAAAACAGCTAAGTATAAGCCTTCTTATCTTTGTTTCTTGACTCAGTGTCTGGTCTTTGACCTCAGGTGAGATATTTCCTTAAGCTCAACTTCCTAAACCATTAAAATGTTAAAAATAAGGGATGGTGAAGGTTTAGCTCAGTGGTACTTTCCTTGTAAAGCCCGGTGTTTGATTCTCAGCACTACAAACATTAAAAATAAATACAAAATAGGCTTTGTCTACTCAAGACACTTAATGAGGAGGAAAAAATTCAAATATTGTTTAGAAAACAGTTTGTAGACTACAAAGTACTATTTAAATGCTGAGAATAAAATAAAAGTAGAAAGATGGATGTCAATTCGAGTTATGAAAAAAGAATAAGAAAAAGAATTCAGTGCTCAGAATGCAATGAACTCCAATTAACATTTTTCTTTACAGATTTGTCTCAACATATAACATCAAAACTTTCTTCTCTCCTGTTTGATGTTAGTCATATGAAATTTTGGTACACTTAGAATTCATGTCACAAAAAAGACCCCAAAAGAGAGGCCTATAATATGATCCCTTTGAAGGAGAGGAGAGCTCTATGCTAGCTTTTGAACTGAACCATTAATAGACAGGAACCAGCTATTGTATGTTCAGAGTACTCGAGAAATAGAAATGGTAATCTTCAACAACCCTCCCTTCCCAATTTGGTACTACATTGTATCCCAAGAATGTCTTTGATCATTCAACATCACTTGGCTTCCTAATTCATAAATTGAGAATGCTAAATTTTAGTGTATTATCTGCTTGCACTGGTTTTTCACCAGAAACCACAAATTCTTCACACTCTCCTTTCATTCCATATTGATTCTAAACTAAAAATAATACTGAAAGAACTCACATTTGAGAAGCAGAAAGATGGTTTAGTTTTTGATGTTGAAATTTGAGCAGAAACCTTCAAATTAAATTGTTTAATGATGACTCTCAAAATTTCCCTCCATGCTTTCTAAGATTGTTAGGAAAAGAAAGGCAATTCTTTCTTTTTTTATTTTCCATGACTCATTCTCTCCCATAGAGTTTTGTGCTATATATTCCCTGCCTTTCTGTTCTCTTTGCTGAAAATCCTTTATAACCACCCCCACCTGTTTTTTTCTTTTTCCTTTATTTTTTTTGCTGAGCTATTCAATTTACTCTATCTTAAACTAGCAGAAGGAGAAGTGGTTGAGAGCTCAACCTTTGAAACATCTTGCTGAGTGATCAAGGGGCAGACTGAGAAGACTGCTGATCAGACCTTAGCCATTTGCAAAAGCTTTTGCTACAATAGCTCACTGAACTCTATTTTAAAGAATTCTGCATTTATTTTCTCCCATTCTTTTGGAAGATTTTCTAAAACATGAGGCCAAATTTCTATAGTAAGTGGTTGCTTTGAGGAATTTTTATTTTATTTTTAATCCACATTAAGCTACACTCCCAACCTCATGATATTCTTTCAAAGTACTCTGCAATTAGAAATAGACATTACAGGGGCTAAGAATGTGGCTTAGTGGGAGAGTGCTTGCCTAGCATGCATGAAGCCCTGGGTTCAATTCCTCAGTACCACAAGAACAGAAAAAGCTGAAAGTGGTGTTGTGGCTCAAGTGGTAGAGTGCTAGCCTTGAGAAAAAGAAGCTCAGGGACAGGGCCCAGGCCCTGAGTTCAAGCCCCATGACTGGGGGCAGGGGAGGAGAGAGGAGAGAGGGGAGAGGGGGGGGAGGGAGAAAGGAGAGAGGGAGGGAGAGGGGAGAGGAAGAGGGAGAGGGAGAGAGAGAGAAAGAGAGAGAGAGAGAGAGAGGGAGAGAGAGAAATAGACATTATAGCTCTTATGGTAAAGCAGCAGTCTGTGAATGAAATTCTTCAAGAAGGGCTGGGAAAGTGGCTCAGTGGTAGAGTGCTTGCCTTGCATGCCTGAGGCTCTGGGTTCCATTTCTCAGTATCACATAAGCAAAAAGAAAAAAGCCAGAAGTGGCGCTGTGGCTCAAGTGGTAGAGCGCTAGCCTTGAGCTGAAGAGCTGAGGGACAGCACCCAGGCCCAGAGTTCAGGCCCCACGACCGGACCCCCCCCCAAAAAAAACAAAAAACAAAATTCTTCAAGGAAGAGGAAGAACTATCCACATGGTAATAATTTGCTATTATTATTATTATTATTTTGGTCAGTCATGGGGCTAGAACTCTGGGCCTGACTGCTGTCCCTGAACTCTTCAGCTCAAGGCTAGTTTCTATCACTTGAACCATAGTGCCACTTCTGGCCTTTTCTGTTTATGTGGTGCTGAGAAATCAAACCCAGAATCTCATGCTTATGAGGCAAGCACTCTACCACTGAGCCACCTACCTCCCAGCCCTCCTCCTCCTCAACCTCCTCCTTCTTCTTCTTCTTCCTTTTCTTCCTCCTCCTCCTTCTCCTCCTCTTCTTCTTCTTCTTCTTTTTTTTTTAAACTTTTTTTTTTTATTTTGATGGAGTACACCTTGTCAAATCTCTCTCTTATCTGTTGTGCCCCTAGGACTCTCTTTTTTTTTTTTTTTGGGTGTTAGTAGTGGTGCCTGAACTCTGGGCCTGGGCACTGCCCCTTAGCTCTTAAGCTCAAGGCTAGAGCTCTACCACTTGAGCCACAGTGCCACTTCTGGCTTTTTCTGTTTACGTGGCGCTGAGGAATCGAACCCAGGGCCTTAGGCATGCAAGGCTGCTCCTTTTTCTCCTCCTCCTCCTCCTCCTCCTCCTCCGCCTCCTCCTCCTCCTCCTCCTCTTCCTCTTCCTCCTCTTCCTCTTCCTCTTCCTCTTCCTCTTCTTCTTCTTCTTCTTCTTCTTCTTCTTCTTCTTCTTCTTCTTCTTCTTCTTCTTCTTCTTCTTCTTCTTCTTCTTCTTCTTCTTCTTCTTCTTCTTCTTCTGTGTCAGTAATGAGTCTTGAACTCAGGGTATGGGGCTGTACCTTAGAGGCTGGTGTTCTACCACTTGAGCCACAGTTCCACTTCCAGCTTTTTGGTGGGACTTTCCTGCCACAAATGGCTTCTAACTGGGTTCCTTAGAGCTCAGCCTCTTGAGTAATTAGGATACAAGCCTTAGCCATCAGTTCCTGGTTTCCATGCTGCTTTTTTCAAATAACTTACAGAATAATAATAATAATTAAAAAAAAAGAAATATAGCTAGGTGCAGGTGGTTCATGCCTGTAATCTTAGCTTTTCAGGAGGCTGAGATCTGAGGATCATGATTGGAGACCAGAAAAGTCTCTGTGAGACTCCTATCTCCAATTAACCACTCAAAAACCTGAGGTGGCTCTAAAGCTCAAAATGGTAAACACTAGTCTTGAGCAGAAGAGCTTAGTGACAGAGCCCAAATCCAGAGTTCAAGCCCCACAACAAAGAAAGAAAGAAAGAAAGAAAGGAAGGAAGAAAGAAAGAGAGAGAGAGAGAGAAAGGAAGGAGGGAGGGAGGGAGGAAAAGAAAGGAGAGAGAGAGGCAGGCAGGGAGGGAGGGAGGGGGAGAGAGAGACAAAGTGAAAGGAAGAAAGGAAGAAAGAAAGAAAGAAAGAAAAAAAGAAAGAAAGAAAGAAAGAAAAAGAGAGTTAAAAAGAAAAAAGGAAAGCAAGCAAGCTGTGGTACCAGGTTCAGAGTCAGAGCACTGACTGCTGGCTAAATACACAATCTGCATTTCTTCCATTCCTTCTTAGTAATTCCATTATTCTCCTTCCTGGCCCATGAAATTTCTCTGTTTTCAAGAACCAGCTTGAAAGTGATGTCCCTGCAACTCTCCTGAGATGTCTCTTGTGTCCTCAAATGATCCACTTAAATATTTTAATACATTGGCTAGTTTGTTTCTGATGGCATTAAAAGTATCCGCACAACTGTTCCCTTATTTATAAAGCTCACAATTGCTGAACGACTTGTAATGCAATACTAACTAAGTAAGGAATCTCTCCCGGAACAGTTGATGTGAAAGGATTTTACTGCCACTTAGTTACGAGGAGGAAGATGATGAAATGTCTTAAAGCATTTTCTCAGTGGTCTTTGGGAGGTATGTGGTAATATTTAAATTGAAGAGGGAGGAGATGGGGCTGAGGATGGAGAGGAAAGGAGGAGGCGGGGGCGGAGCCTCCGCCAGCAAATAAAAGCCCTAGCTGAGAGGGAAGCACACTGGCGTGCGCAGGAACCACTCTCCTGTAACCTGGAGCGATGGAGCAGTGTGTGCCGTGAGCACTGAGATCCGACCGGGAAAACAAGGGCAAGAAGACCAGCGAGGAAAGAGGACATCTGGGGACAGCGGAAGCAGAAGGAACGGGAAGGGGAAAAGAAACCCACAGCAGGTGGAAATCAGATCCAGAGCAAACCGGTCAGGTCTACAGTTTTATTTTTTCTGGAAGAAGAAAGCACCTGCGGATTGCTTTTTTCCTCACCTTTGGTTACCGAAAGCTACTTTTATCCTTATCATAAAGACTCCAGGGGTGGTAAAGGCAATCACTGTTTTGTTAGAAGAGCTGAAGGGAAATCTAGACTATCTTTTGAAGCGTCTGACATTAACCAGTGTTAGGGTACACATAGCAGAATCAAATTGAAGACACGGCCCTTTCAGGAGAATTCCAACACGAATCTCTGGTACCGTTCTAGTTGTGTGTGTGTGTGTGTGTGTGTGTGTGCGTGTGTGTGTGTGTGTGTGTGTGTGTGTATGCCTCTGACTTCTTCCCCCTCTTTTAAAGCAATACCTTAATTCTCCGCTTGTTTGTGAGCAATAGTGACACGAAAGTGTCAGTACAAAGTAGGACTATTTTCAAGTTTTCCCTTTTACCTGCTGGGTGGTTTTTTGTGCTTGTTCGGGTTCGTGTGTGTGTGTGTGTGTGTGTGTGTGTGTGTGTGTGCCTTGAAGAGGATTTTGAGTGGTTCCTATTTTAGAAAAGGACATTTTAATTTGAAAGCCTCTGTACACGCACGCGCACACACATTTAGAAGAAGAGATACCTTTTGGAATCCTACTAAGAAAAATGGCAAAAGGAGCCAGGCACCGAAACAACACTGAAAAGAACCAGCCAGGTGAGAGCAGGTCGGAGGACAAACCCGAGGCCGAGTCAGGAGGGGGCGGAGTGGCCCTGAAGAAGGAGATCGGATTGGTCAGTGCTTGTGGAATCATTGTAGGTAAGCCCACTCACCACTTTCCCTTCTCTGGGGGAAGAGGGGCGGGAGGTGGGGGTCCTCTTGTGGGATTCTAACCCCTCGGAAACAGCAGTTTTGCTTCCTGCTGAGGATGGCATTATCAGCATCCATACTGTAAAACTAGCTCCACTGGTCAAGTTTGAGAGATAGGAGTGATATACATCATCCATCTCTTCCTCCAAACCAGGCTGATGATGCATCCCAGCCAGCCTGACTGGAAACTGCTTAAAAATAAAGTGTTCTGAGGCTGGGAAGGTGGCTCAGTGGTAGAGCGCATGCCTTGCCTGCCAGAGTCCCTGGGTTCCATTCCTCAGCACCACATAAGCAAAAAGAAAAAAAAGCCGGAAGTGGCACTGTGGCTCAAGTGGAAGAGTGCTAGCCTTGAGCTGAAGAGCTGAGGGACAGCGCCCAGGCCCAGAGTTCAGGCCCCATGACCGGACCCAAAAAAAAACAAAAACAAAAAAACAAAATAAAGTGTTCTGGGTTCTTCTCTAGGAAGTCCTGATTCAGCCTGAGATATCTGGGGTTTTTTTTGTTGTTAGGGATGTGTGTGTGTGTGTGGCTGTGTGGCTATGTGCGCACACCCACCTGCCAGTCCTGGGGTTTGAACTCAGAACCTGGACACTATGCTCAAAGCTAACACTCTACCACTGGAGCCTAAGTTTCAGTTCTGGCTTTTGGTATTTATTGGAGATAAGAGTCTCATGGACTTTTCTGCTAGGGTTAGCTTTGAATCAGAATCCTTAGATCTCATCTCAGTCTCCTGAGTAGCCAGGATTATAGGCATGAGCTACCAGCACCAGGCTGAGATCTAGATTTTTAACTAGATCTTATTCAGCCCCCTCCCACTTTAGGATTGATTTTTGAGGCATCTCTAGTAGAAATTTTATTGCTTTTATGTTCTTTTTTTTTTTTTTTTGTCGATCGTGGGGCTTGGGCGCTGTCCTTGTGCTCTTCAGTAAAAGGTGAGCACTCTACCGCTTGAGCCACAGTGCCACTTCTGGTTTTCTAATGGTTTATTGGAGAAATGAGTCTCACAAACTTTCCTGCTCGGGCTGGCTTTGAACCGTGATCCTTAGATCTCAGTCTCCTGAGTAGCTAGGATTACAGGCGTGAGCCACCGGCACCTGGCTTGCTTTTATGTTCTAGGAAATTATGGCATGTGTAATAAAAATTAGCAGCAGTAGTTATAATTCTCTGGTTTTCTTTTCTAGCCCTTTCTATCCATGAACATTTGCAACATTTTCCCTGTATAAAGTGACAGGGCTGTTATTCCCATTTCACAGATGGGTAATTAAGGGAAGAGGGAGAAGACAGATTGTGCTCTTCTATAAACTGCTAGTTTGTGGTTTTTATAGTTCACTAATGGAATTCACCTTTTTTTTAAACACCCACGAATGATCCTTTAAGGTTCTCAGAGGGAATCAGAAGTAACTAGAGTGTGGAGGGGAGGAGGGACTGATGGGTAAAGTCCTGGTGTGAACATTGTGAAGATGAAGCTTGCCAGGACAGGTCACACTGATGCCCCCTCCCTACCTGTTCTCTAGAAAGCAGGGACACCCTACACAACATATCCTTCTCTTTGCAGAGAAGTCCAGAAATGCAGTGCCTCATTCCTGCCCTCCCTTCAGAGAGGAGTGTTTTGTCTGCTATTGATAGAGGGCTTTACCTTCTCCCCAGACAAAGGTGTAGGACAGTTCAGGCCCAGATGTATTTCTGTGTCATCTTTCTCCAGAGGTCCATTGTGAAGGCGTTCTATGCCCTGGTGCCCATAAACAGTTTTCTAGACATCTCCATGTTCCATACATAGCTCAGAGACACTGACACCTGAGCAATAGTGACACTGGAGAACACCCTCAAAGGCAAATAAAATGAGTGCAGTATCCTGATAATCCTCATCACCTTTACACCCAGAATTTGGAGATGATATTGTCTCCAATCTTTTCTTCAAAATACAATCCTATTTTATCTAATTCTCTGAGAGATTTTCCACTTTTTTTTTTCTTTTTGCCAGTCCTGGGGCTTGGACTCAGGGTCTGGACACTGTCTCTGAGCTTTTCTTGCTCAAAGCTAGCACTCTACCACTTGAGCCACAGTGCCACTTCTGGCTTTTTCTACTTATGTGATACTGAGGAATTGAACCCAGGGCTTCATACATGCTAGGCAAGCACTCTACCACTAAGCTACATTTCCACTCATTTACAGTCGTAAAAATACAGTGTTGTTGAGCACCAGTGGCATTTGGCTATACCCCTAGCTGCTCAGGAGACTGAGATCTAAGGATTTTTGTTCAAAATCAGCCTGTGTGCCTTTTATTTCCAATTAAGCACACCAGCCTTGAGCAAAAAAGCTCAGAGACAGCGCCCAGGCCCTGAGTTCAAGCCTCAAGACTGGCATGCATGCATGCATGTATTTATGCATGCATGCATGCATAAATAAATAAATAATTTAAGAAATACAATGTTATAAATGAAAGCCACAACCATTATCTTCTCTCATTTTTTTTCTCCTATTCTTTCCTTTATCTCAGTGCTTTGAAAAATAAGGTCTACTGGGTACTCAATATTTATAGCACTTGCCAATTTCATATCTCTAAATAGCCCTCTTTTGTCAATTTGACTGATAGGATTAAGCTTTTTTTCCTTTGAGAAGGCTTTGATTCATACACAGCTGTGCACACACATACACACACACACACACACACACACACACACACGCACACACACACACACACACACACACACACAATCAAACTTCTTCCCGCCTCAGCCTTGCTTATTCATGCTTGCGTATGTGCAGGTATCCATTAGTGGAGGCTCTTTTCCTGTATACTGAAGTTTTTAATCTCTAACTGTGTGTGTGTGTGTGTGTGTATGTGTGTGTGTGTATGTGCACGCGTGCGCACATGTACACATGCACATACACACTCGCCAGTACAATGGCTTAAACTCAGGGCCTAGGTGCTATCCCTGAGCTTTTCTGTTCATGCTGATACTCTACCACTTGAGTCACACCTCTGCTTCTGGCTTTTTGGTGATTAATTGGCCATAAGAGTCTCACAGACTTTCCTTGTTGTCGTCAGACTGGGTTTGAACTGTAATCCTCAGATCTCAGCCTCCTGAGTAGCTAGGATTACTGTCATAAGTCACTAGCACCTGGCTTCTTCAACATTTTTCAAGTCTATGAAAATGTCCAAGTGTAGTAAGTACTGTTTCCGCAGGGTGACTGTTGCTACTATCTGCCTGTGACCTAGTAAATGATACTTCAGTGCCCAACGCTCCCCAGGATGACATTATGGTAATAAGAATAACAAGCCTGGTGAAAAGAACTCATATACAGTATGTGATTTCAGAGGAATGAGATTATTTCTCCAAAGTGTAAGAATTCTTCTGCCCTCATTCCTGCTAGGATGAGAAATACACTTTCCTTTATGGATAATATGGGAGCAAATCCTTTCTGCTTCCCCTCCTGCATGGCTGTTGAAGTGCAGAGCTGTGGAGCTGCCGTGGCCTCTTGGAGAAGGGTTTCCAAGGGGATGACAGTAGCTCACATTTTTACAAGATAAAATGCAAAAACACACCTGGCTTTTTCCATGCAGAATTCAGTAACCTAGTGTTCTGTTGTCAACACTATGGAAAAAAGAAAATGTAAAGCTTTTAAAAAAAGACAAGAGCCTAAGGCTGTGGGTCATGCCTGTAATCCTAGCTACTCTGAGCTCTGAGGCTCACCATATAACGCCAGTCCAGGCAGGAAAGTCTATTAAACTCTTATCTCCATTAATCTTCTCAGAAAAAGCCAGAAGTGGCACTGTGGCTCAAATGGTAGCATGCTAGCCTTGAGCACAAAGAAGCTCAGGGACAGTACCAGGCCCTGGGTTCAAACCCAAGGTCCTGCAAAAAAAAATAAAAACAAAAAATACCCAAAAAACAAAGGAGAGAGAGAGAGAGAGAGTGCGCAGAAATTTCCTAAGTGCATCAGATGATGATATGATATGATATGGGAAATAGTATTTGCTCTAAATCTACCTATCTCATACTCAACTGACCTAGAGGGATAAGTTGAACGGTATGTTTATTATAAGCTCATAAGATTTCACTCACAGCCATCATAGATGATTAGGCATAACAGAGTATTATGGAAATATAAAATAAACTAATAGAAGACTCATGACATTAAATAATAATAATAATAATACTTATTATTATTATTTTTGTTGTTGGTCGTGGGGCCTGAACTCTGGACCTGGGCACTGTCCCTCAGCTCTTCAGCTTAAGGCTAGAGTGTTCTACCACTTGAGCCATAGCGCCACTTCTGGCTTTTTCTGCTTATGTGGTGCTGAGGAATCGAACCCAGGGCCTCATGCATGCAAGGCAAGCACTCGACCACGGAGCCACCTTCCGAGCTCCGACACAATTATTTATAATTTTTTTTTTGTAGGTTATGGGGCTTGAACTCTGGGCCTGAGCGATATCCCTCAGCTCTGCAGCTCAAGCCTAGTGCTCTACCACTTGAGACATAGTGCTACTTTTGGTTTTCTGGTGGTTAATTGGAGATAAGAGTCTCGTGGACATTCTTGCCCAGGCTAGCTTTGAACTGCCATCCTCAGATCTCAGCCTCCTGAGTAGCTAGGATTATAGGCGTGAGCCACCAGCACCTGGCTTATTTATAATCTTGATTGGGAAGATGTATTAAACAGAAAACACTGAAATTTAATAGTATGGCTCAGTTGTAAGAGTAAGAGGAAAACAGGTGAATAGCAGGGAAGAGAGGTTTGTACCAACAACCAGATGAAGAAGTCTCCTAATATATGTTGGAGAAGATAGAGTAGTGAAGATAATCCTAGAAGATTGTGAATGATTATGTCTAAACCGTTATTTGTGAACTGTTTAGCTGTGAACTGTTGGGTAAAGCTCAGTGGTAGAGTTTGTGCTTAGTATGAGTGAGTTCCTGGGTTCATTCAATCCCAAGTACAAAAAAAGAAG